TTGCTGGTTACCTATCCCTCAGAGGCTGCAGTGCTAAGAACACTTTCCTGGGAGTAAGCCCCATTAAATTAGTGGGACTTATGCCAAAGCAGACCTGCTGAGGATAACTGTTCCCTCAAGAAACTGGTCTGTCCCGGATTCCAGGATCTGACGGCCAGCTAGGATTTGAACCAGGCTGAAGTCTGACAGAATTACTCACACAGGGGTGGGGGCAACACAACCAAGGATAAGGTAAAGCCCGTTGAACAGAAGGCACATAGATGTTCAATTTTCAGTACGCAACTGCTTTGAAGAATTGAGCAGAGCATTTCGCCTCTCTCCATCGCCCAGGCCTCACTAACTGTTCCGTGGCTGAACAAAGTTTGAGTCCAGTGGTACCTTTCAGACCAACAGAGTTTTATTCAAAGTGTTAAGTTTTCATGTGCAAAGCACACATCTTTAGAAAAATTCTGTGGCTGTGTTTGTTAGAACTGGGGCAGGTGTGTGTGTGTGGATCACCAGAAGGTATGAAAACGCAAGCTGTGATCTTGTTAGCAGGATGCAATATTATTTGTTAAACAGCAGCTTCTGCCTATAGGGAGGGCACACAGGGAGAAGGGAGGGCAGGAGGGAAAGGAGAGAAGAGCTGCTTGCAAAATCCCTGGGGGGCAATTAACACCTCCCCGTGGATCATGGCTATTTATACAAGAAGGGGGGGGGGCAGAACACATTTAGCAGAAACAACACAAAAATGTGTGGGTGTGTATGTGTGGGTGGGAGAAACAGACTTCAAGATGAATTGCTGAGTTCTCTCTTTCAAACATACCGTGCATCACTTGTGGGAATGGACCTCTACGACTTTATCTCCTTATCGAAAATGTACTCAGCTGTGTTCCTTCCTGGCCAAGCCAGTTTAAGTGGGCTGGGTCTAGGGCTGCCAGCCTCCACAAGGGCCTCAAGATCTCCCAGAACTACAATCGATCTACAACTGATCTCCAGACTACAGAAATCAGTTCCCTCCAGAGAAAATTGGCTGCTTGGGGGAGGGGGGACACCTTATGGGACCTCCCATCCCTGGTGAGCTCCCTCCCCTCCCCAGTCTCCATCCTCCCCAGCTCCACCCCCAAATCTCCAGGAATTTCCCAAAGCAGGGTCAGCAGGCCTAGCTGTGTCTACAGCACCTGTGGATAGGTGATAAACCCAAGCAAACTCTATTGGGTTTTGAAATGTCACCTCAGCGCTCAGCCAACCAGCACAGATTTGCATGGGACACTTCTTTAAAAGAGGGAGGGAGGGAGGGAGGGAGGGAGGAAGGAAGGATCCATGGCTGAGATTGATAAATGTGAGTTCTGATATTTCTCTTAACATGTAGAATGCCAGCTGTCACTGTGCCTTATTAGGAGTCTGATTAAAATAAATTCAGATCTTAGCATTTAGCTCAGACAGAAGAGATTTAGAGTAGAATTAATTAAAGTATTATTTCTAATTACTAAAGGTTCCTTTTTAGATAGAGAAAAATAATGGAATGGAATGTACATTTTGAAATTACAAGCTTTCCAGTTGAAGGACATCCGAAAGTAAAGTTATGAGATGGGAAGACTCTGAATATTTCCAAAACAAGATCTTTCTTTGTAGAGCAGAGCATCTGGCCCCAGGGAGTCTTCCAAGAGCTAAGAGCCCCTGGGGGGTGGGTGTGTGAGCGGGATAGGAAATCGAAGGAAATAAATAAATAAATAAGTTTTATGCATCTTATCAGGAAACTCCTCATTTTTAGGCTGGATCAAATAAGTCAGGAAGGATGCCAAAAGAAGGCCCCTCTGTTCATTGATGGTTTCCACCGTTCTGGGACCAGATAAGTAGATGTAATTACTGACACTTATGATCAACGAAGGGGCATGCCAATAGAGAGGTGCCAGCTCAAATGATGCTCTGATGATGATACCTGTTAGACACCAATTAGGAATTTCTTTCTGTGTAAACGGTCATGATGTCATTTGGGGTATAAGATCTATTGCCTTCCTGGTTGGGATAAAATACAGTTTGGTGTTACTGGGTGACAAGGTATCCAGTCCTGTATTTTCCTGATTATTGCAATAAACAGAGTTTATCCGACCCACTGGACTTTGACTGTGTGTTCCTCATTCTACCCCGGGAGCACACGGGGCACAGATTTGTGCATAGGAAGGAAGGGAGGGATGAAGGAATCTTTTCCATGCAAATGAGCTTACAACATTTGAGCAAAGCTCTTGGACTCTCCCAGTACTGCTATGCTGCAGATGGACAAATCCATCCTTCACCATTTCACACTGCAAAATTAGAAGCAGGAGCTATGGCAGAAAGAATTCATTTGATAAAGTGTGCATGCACACGAAAGCTCATACCCTGAATAAACCTTTGTTGGTCTTAAAAGGTGCCACTGGACTCTTAATTTGTTCTTCTGCTTCAGACCGACACGGCTGACCAACTGGATCTATCTTTGTGGCAGAAAGGTCCTTGGTCTGCAGAAAGATCCGTGTTCGATCCCAAGCATCTCCAGTTAATGGAAGTCCCAAGCTGGCAAAGACTCTTCTCTGTCTGAAGCCCTGGGAGTCAGACTGCAGCTGCTGAGCGTTTGCTTTGAATGCAGAAGGTCCCCCGCTCAGCCTCTGGGATCTCCAGTTAAAGAATCTTGGGTACTGGGAAAGACCCTTCCTCCCCTCAGACTCTGGGGACTGCTGCCAGTCCGAGGAGACAGTTCTGAGCTAGATGGTCACTGGGTTGCCAGCTCTGGGCCAGGGAATTCCTGGAGATTTAGGGGGTGGAGACTGGGGAGGACAGGGTTTGGGGAGGGGAGGGACCACAGCAGGGTACAAAGCCAGTAAAGTCTACCCTCCAGACCAGCCGTTTTCTCCAGGGGAACTGATCTCTGTAGTCTGAAGATCAGCTGTGATTCAAGGAGCTCTCCAGGCCATATCTAGAGGTTAGCAGCCCCAGGGCTCTTTTTGTAGAAAAAGCCCAGCAGGAACTCATTAGCATAATAGGCCACACCCAACAGCAGAAACTCATTAGCATATTAGGCCACACCCCTGCCAGCACAGCTCATTGGCATATTAGGCCACACCCCCATGCTACCAGAAGTGTGGTCATCCAGCCACACCCACCTCTTGCTTCTTATTCTGTTTACCTTGTTTGTTGTCAAAACCCAGGGCCTTTTTTGTAGCAGGAACTCCTTTGCATGTTAGGCCACACACCCCTAATGTAGCCAGTCCTAATGAGTTTCTGCTGTTGGGTGTGGCCTATTATGCTAATGAGTTCCTGCTGGGTGTGGCCAACTTGGAAGCCAGCTGGAACACCGTTCCTGTGCGTTCCTGCCCAAAAATAGCCCTGAGCAGCCCTATAGATGGATCAGTGCCCCACACATTTTGCATCCCTGTATGTGCACAGTTACAGTCATCACGTCTGCCAGACCTGAGGGAATGTCCCCTGGCACCCTGAGGTGTCACTGGGGGAAATCCTGAAGAAGAGGAAGTGGAGATTTGGAGGAGAAGTTCATGAGCCAAAACGTTTTGAAAGCGAGCGTGGAGAGTCTTGCGCTCTGCTGGTAGTCCCCGGCCCAAAAGACATGTGCTCAGACTCAAACAGGGCCAGGGCTTTTTCCACCCTGGCCTGGTGGTCCCATGTGAGGTCAGGGCCCTGCAGGACTTGTCACAGTTCCGCAGGGCCTGCAAAATGGAGCTGTTCTGCTAGACCTTTGGCTGAGGCAGCGGACGTCCAATCCATCACAGCCTCCCTGCCCACAAAAATACACCCTCGAACTAATCATCCTACAGGAGGCATTAAGGACCACCCTAGAGTTTTTGTCTGGTTCTGCTGCCATCTTGTTTTATTGTCTGATTGTTTTAACTCTGTCTTATTACATGGTATACTATTATTTTAGGAGCTGCGGTGACTCAAGTGGTTAAGACGCTGAACTGCAGCCTGTGGAAGGTCGGTAGTTCAGCAGTTCGAGACCCGAGTGCGCCACATGACGGAGTGAGCTCCCGTCTCTAGTTCCAGCTCTTGCCAACCTAGCAGTTCGAAAGCAAGAAATTTCAAGTAGATAAATAGGTACCACTTCGGTGGGAAGGTAAACAGCATTCCGTGCGCCTTGGTGTTTAGTCATGCCGGCCACATGACCACGGAAATGTCTTTGGACGGCGCTAGCTCTTCGGCTTTGAAACGGAGATGAGCACCGCAACCCTAGAGTCGGATTCGACTGGCTTTCGAGCAAGGGAACCTTTACCTTTACTTTTTATACTATTATTTATTTAGAGCCCACTTGTTGTGAGCTGCCCTGAGCCCACTGGGACAGGGTGGGATATAAACCTAGTAAAATAAACGAATTAAATAAAGGACCAGGCAGCAGATGAGGTGGAAGAGCTTCCTCTGCCTGAGACCCTGGAGAGCTGCTTCCGGTCTGAGTAGACAAGACGGATTTTGACAGACTGATGGTCTCATCCAGTATAAGGCAGGTTCTAAAGGGCTTGGGTTACAGGGAGGTTGGGCGGTAGGAGAAATGTCCTAATGGGGATGCAACAGAATCAGCTCTCTGGCTGGTGAGGTCTCCCTTGCTCGGTGGTCTTCAAGCTGAGGCTGGACAGCTGCTCATCAGGGGATACTCAAGCTTTTGATTTCCCGCAACAAGAGGGAGGTTGGACTAGATGGCCTCTAAGGCCCTTTCCAAATGCAGACTGATTATAGAAACCATGGCAGGCAAAGAGAACATGGCGGATTTGGTCATCTGTTGAATCGCCTCTAAGCTTTCCACCGTTTGGCATTTCCCCATCATCGCTTCCTCACAATGCACTCTGAGGTCAGGAAAGCCAGAGACTTAGCCGTGAAATAAAACAACCACAAATGCACCTTCCACAGGACACACAAACCTTGCAGTCCAGGATATGGGAGAACCACCCCCGTGGGCACACGGTGCCCATTTGAGAAGATCCACCCATCAACACACACTCCTGTCCTGGAGGACCCTCTTGCCGGTGGGCAGCACCTACCTGATCTGGTGGCACCATTGCTTCTTCCGGGGCAGTGGCCAAGAGAGCCTTGCTCCTGTTGAGATCGGAGGAGTCCACTTTGATGAGGCGGTGTTTCGGAGAGCCATACTTCCCTTCAGAATTGCCGCCGCCGGCCGCCACTTTGTTTGGGGACCCCCCAGGGTCTGGGTCAGGTTTGCTGTCCACGTCTTCGTAAGGATCCTCGAAGTCCAGGCTCTTCTGGGCCCGATAGGCCTTTAAGATCTCGCTTTCGGTGTAGTCCGGCTTGGGGGGCTGCGGGGGAGACCTCCGGCTCCCAAAACTCAAGTAATCTTTAAGCCACTTGGCCATTGGTGGTCCCCTCCCCCTCTGCCCTTTCCAGTTTCCACCACCAAGCCACCAATACCTCTGGGCAGAACAAGCCGAGGCTGAAAGAGAAACGAGATTCTCAAACAGCAACCAGATAATCCTTCATGGGTCAACGTGATTTATAATCCAAATTAGGAATCATCCGTCTTCTCCTTCCCGAGGCCTGCTGCAGAGAGAAGAGAAAAGAGCAAACTCTCCGGCATCGTTTTATCTTATGATATCACACACGGACGGCTCTTTGTGTTGGATTTCACCCTACAATCTTAGCCATCTGGCCATGCCAGCAGGTATTTATAGCAACCTCTTGCTGCTCCCATAGGGGACCTATGTTCTGCAAGGGAAAGCCGGCACTTAGTGTCAGGGCGGTGGAGAGTTTTTAGCAAAAGCTCCAAACCCCCACTTGCGCAATGGAAGCTCGCTGGGTGACCCTGGGCCAGTCACACACACTCAGCCTAACCAGCCTCACAAGGTTGTTGCGAAGATAGGGTGGAGGAGAGGAGAATGATGGATGCCGCTTTGGGTCCTCGCTGGGAAGAAGGGGGGGGGTCTTAGTGAAGAGGATAAACCCACCTCCGCCAAGCCTCCTTCAGTCTCAAGGCTGCTCATCTGCAAAACTGTCATCAATACCAGCTCACCTAACAGGGTCAGCTTAACAGCAAGCAAGATAAATTCCATCAATACTAGAACTGAAATTCATCATTAGTTCCTCTGCACTGGCTCCATTTATTTCAGTGGGACCTTTGCCAGCACCCTTCCCAACAGACTTTTAAATACAGAGTCTAGCCTGGTGCGTGGGGGGGGAAGCCTAGGAAATATTTATTTAGTTGCAAGGAGGATTTCATTACTCAACTCTCCCCCACCCCCCTCACCTTCTCAGCTCTTTCAAAATATAAAATTACATCTCCATTAACCAGCTGCCTTAGTCAAAATCCCACCCCCTTAAAAGTGCTTTTAAAAAAAGGTTTCTCGAGGTTTCATGCATGTATCCGTCACTGGAAACACCACTTATTAAAATCTCCTTACAGACAACTGTAAACACTACCCCTGTGTTTCAAAGGCTGCAATCCCTTATGTGCACTTACCTATGAGTAAGTGGCATAGAACACACTGGCACTTTTGCAGAGTAAGATTGCAGTTGCTCAGGCTGCATAGGATTGCCTTTGCATAGACTTGTGTAGGAGTAAACCTCCTCGGAATTGGGAGGAAACATGGAAGGGACAGCTGCAAATGCCCTCGGGTACACCGACCCGGGAGTAAACCCCCAGGACACACAGGCGGTTGCTTCGGAGTAAACATGCAAATAGTGCCCGCTGCGCGGGGTTGTTCTTGCACGGTCCTACTCGCGAGTAGGGCTTGCCTCCGCGGAAATAATGCAAGGAAAAAGCTGTGCTCCCGTGCACCTTTACCTGGGAGTAAAGCCCGTTGGTCACCGTAAGGATGAGTTACGAGTAAACACGCCGCGGAGCGTGCAGTTCTCCTCGGGAACAAGCGCCCCAGTGGCGGCAGCGGGACTTACTTCGGAGTAAGCCTGTAGAGCTCCAGGTTGGTCACACACAGATAAGACAGAAACACTTTCTTGCCTGGATCAAAAGGTAATCGCCGATCCGGCAGATTTACCCTTTTTCAATTGGGGGGGGGGGGGGGATGAAATTTGCCAGCTCTTTCTGCAGGGCCCGGGGCGGGGGAACTCAGCCCCCCAAGGACTCTGTAGCCTACGGAATGGAGCCGTGTGGGTCGCCTACGGGCGAGCCCCCCATCACACACACACGCCGCCGCCGCTCCGTCTCCTCCATCCGATCCTTTTTTCCAGCCTGCAAAGTTCAGGGCAGGAGGCTCTTACGCGAGTTGCAGAGGGAAAGCCAGAGAGGGAAAGATCCCTTCTTTGTCTGCATCTGATCGCCTCTGCAGATTCCTTTGCAAAAGAGAGCGAAACGCGCAGACACCTCCCCCCCGCCGCCGCATTCTGATGCGTCTTTCATGCCACACAACCCCCCCCCCCACCCCCCCCCCCCATATAAAGAAGACTGGGGAGGACAGATCGAGGGGGACGGAGCCCCCGCAGCCCGAGGGGGAAACAATGTCCCGGCGGAGAGAGGCACGGGGCCACCGAGGCGGCAGGCGCGCGCCATCCCATAATTTGCTACTTTAAAGGCTTGCTGCTCCATTGATCTGTTGCAAAGAGCCCAAACAAAAAACCGGGAGATTTGAGAAAGCCGGAGTGGAAAAAGTTTCGCCGCCTGCTCCGTCTCGACAAGAGTCGGGGTTTGTTTGGGGTCTCTTTTCTTTCTTTGTTAAATATTTGAGCGGCAGTCTTTGCCTGCCCCCCCCCCTCCTTAGTAACTCTCCCTCCACTGGGCACACATCCAGAGAGGTGAAATGAGCCCCCCCACCCCGGCACACAAACACACACAAAAACACCCACCAAACCTGAGCCGAGGAGCTGCGGGGGTCTCTAAGCAAAGCAGGATATAAAAACCAAAGTCAAGATCCCCCCTCCCCCCCTGTTTTTTCTCACCTGACACAGAGAGAAAAAGAGGAGCGCACAGGTTGTTAAAACCAAAACTGGAGGTGGAGAGATAAATTTAGGGAGGGGCGAAATTGGTGGGGAGGGAGGGAGAGGGAAATGTATGCGGGAGAAACCCAGTTCTTTCTCCAGCTCGTGCAAAGGTATCTCTCCCCCCTTTCCCAATTTTTTCCTTGCCGAAGAAGGAAGGTTACGGTTAGAGAGTCTTTCAGGGGTGGGGGTAGCTATTATTTGGGGAGGTTCAGCCCCCAATATGTGCTTTCTTTGCATGATTTAAGGATGGATTTCCCCCCCAGATCCCATTAACACAAAAAAGCTTAAAAAAACAAAAAAAAAAGCGACTACTTTCCTTAATCAGTTGCAGTCCCCTGCCCTTTAAAAAGGTTGAACTGAAGACCTCGCCGGCTGTCAAATATGCGATGCACAGATGCAGGGACCTAATTTTATTTTTATTTTTTTAACCCAGCCTTTCTCCTCCCTCCTTTAAAGCTGAAAATATAAGGGCATGACCCATGCATGTAGTAAGGCTATTTTAAACTTCTTTGTTGTTCTATAGAACCACCCCTCTCCCCCTCCCCAATTAATATGGAAGAAAAACCAAGCAAATTTCTTCCAACAAGTATCTTCTCTCTACTGTAGTTAATGGCTATTTGCATGCTTTTACAGTGCTCGGGCGGCTGGCGTGAGGGGTGGGGGGAAGCTGATGAAATTGACGGGGGAAGATATCGTCCCTCCCGCAGCCACACCACCCCAGAAGAACAGATGTTGCAGAGAGAAAGGGAGAGAAGATGGCACCCCCCTACACACAGACACATACAGAGAGACACACAGACACACACACACACACAGAGACACACACACTTCTGTCTCTCTTTAATTCAACAGTAACAAGAACGCCCCTTCCTCCACTGCCAACTATTTTGGTTACTGAGGGTGATTTTACAGTCTCTCAACCTGATTCTTTTTTTTGGGGGGGGGGAGTGAAAGTTACTAAGGGGGGAAGCAATTTTTTTTTTAAGGTGGGTTTTATGTAGGGCGGACATTTCCCTGCCCTTCCCCATGCCAGGGGAAAAAACCAGGACAATTCTCCATCCCAGTTTCATGGCATTCATTTTCCTCTTAAAGGTGGCTGGTGAAATTGATTTGTTCAAGGTGGGGGGAAGCTGGTATTGACCGGACTGTGTGTGTTGGGGTGTGTGTGACATTTCCTCTCTTTCTCCCTTACCACTAAACCCCGGAGAATAAATTATCCCCCCCCCCACTTCTCTCTACTGTAGTTAATGGCCATTTTATAGGTTCGATTTCTCCCCTGGTTGAAGGGGGGGAGGATATATTGACCAGCAGAAAGAAAAGTTGGTGGAGGCATTTAAAAGATATGGGAAAAGAAGAAGAAGAGCACAAATGAATCTCTCTCCTCCTCCTTTTCCTTGGGGAGGGGAGCTTAAAAAGAGAGATTTCCCCTCCCACATAAAGATGCACACTCACTGTCTGCCGCTGGGAAGACAGACAAATTTTGACCATTAGTCCAGGAGCACCTTGAAGACTAAGACAATTTGTGGCAGGGGATGAGCTTTCCTGAGTCACTGCTCACTTCTTCAGACCTTGCTCTTTTCTACTGCTACAGACAGACTAATATGGCTACCTATCTTAAATTTTGACCATAATACTCTCTGGCCAAGTGTAAAAAGGAAGGAAGGAAGGAAGGAAGTAAGGAAGGAAGGAAGGAAGGAAGGAAGGAAGGAAGGAAGGAAGATTAGATTCATTTAGGTATCTAGGGAGAGAGAAAGCACAGAGATAATGAAAAGAAAAGAGGGAGAGGAAAAGAATTAATGCATATGGAGAAAGATATTTATAGGACTCTTTGGTAGATGTGATGGGGAAAAAGAAATGAGGCAGAGAGAAATTAAGTGCCCTATCATAATGAACCAGATGCCTTGTGTTTACCTAACAATGCATGGGATGGGGGGAAATGATATAGAACTTTTTTTCTCTCCTCCCCTTCCCATCCTGGAAATTGGAGGTATTCCAAGAGGATGGTGGGCAGTAGATTCCAGAGAGACAAAAAAGAAACCCTTCTTTGAGGCAAGGGTTGTTTGCTTGTGGAACTCACTGCTGTGGGACGTGGCGATGGATGCTCACTTCTGTGGCTTAGAAAGAGAATCGGACCAATTCGTGGAGAATAGGTCCATCGATGGCTATTAGCCAGGATCACCGAGTGAAACCTCCATGATCAGTCCACCGCTGAACATGTTGCAGTCACAGGGGGGAGCTTTAGCCTCCTCGGCCCCACGTGGGCCTTCAGGGAACTTCTGATTGGACCCATGGGAAACAGGATGCTGGACCAGATGGACCATGGATCTGATCCAGCAGGGCTGCTCTTATGTGTTTCTGTCTGTCTTTCCCTTGAGCTGTAAGAAATTGGAAGGGGGCAGGAAAGCAGTTGGGGGGGTGTCTGTCTTTTACCTACAGAGAGAGAGAGAGAGAGACCTCAAAATGCTCCATCCTGAGGTTCTCAAAATGCAAACTGGGGGATTCTTGTGACAGCAAGAGCCAGCTGACCAGTCCTTTCCATCTCGCCTTCTCGGTATCTGCATGTGCGAAAATC